GTGCTTTCAACAGCATTATGTTTCATTTACGTATTCTACTTATGAGATTAAACTAATAATTTAAAGATTAGCCAATACAAGTTTGCAAAGGTATCAGATAATAACTAGAAGTAGAGCTTTCCAAGAGAATTCTTGAATCCTTTGCCGTTGTTTATGTCAACAATTTAAAAGTAGTATAGAGAACCAGGTGTCACTGTTAATGATTCCACGTGTTCCAGAGAGTTTATGGAGGGTTTCTTTTTTGTCTTGATATTTTTGAGGTTCATTTTGTGACAGAATAGGTTTCTCTGATCATAAAAGGAAAAGTGACAATGTTCATTTTGTCAAACTGGGCTCTTTGAAGTTTCACAATCTACATTATTCTTTACTCTAAACAGGTACATGGGATCCATGACCCTTGATTACTTAACTACTACACAACCTATGTGGTGCTAACCTTGCTTACTGTAAGACTAAGACGGTAAGAGGGATTGGAGTCAACAGGTGCATTTACATGGTAATGACCCTCGTGTCGCTCGCTGTACAATCTGCTCGGACCTACGTGTTTGTCTGCTTCGGCACAGTTTGCTTTGAGACCCGTGGGAGTGTTTACCAGCGTAGGCTGAGGAATTTCAGGTCAAGAGAGCATCGAGCACAGAGAACACCCATGGCCAAACTGATCTGGTAACTGACATCAAAGTGTACCTGAGCCATCCATCTCCATCAGTGAAAAGCAAATATTTATCCTGTAGTGACGTACTTATAGTAGAGAAATACACAAAAAAAACAGACTTTTGGCATATATGCAAGTGTCTGCATACATAATGTTTATAATATTGCCCACCTAATGCATGCATATGTTTGTGTGCGTGCAGCAATATGAAATCCTGATTGTTATGCTTATAGTGACTTAAGGAGCATGGTTTTTTTAAGTTAGGCAGTCTGTTGGAGAACTGGACATATTAGGAAAAAAATAAGCAGTTCTGCAGAGAGGTTTGGTGATGCATCATTTGTGCCATCTGTTCGTCTTCCTGTTGGATGGCATCCTGTGCCAGGGCCAATGTCCAGTCCACTCTGAGAGCTTCTCCAAGCTGGTCCCACCTGGCACAACTGTCCTCAAAATTCACACTGTCACAGACGGCCTGAGAAGTGTGGAGGCTGTCATGACTCAGTTCAGACACGACCAACTGTGTAGGATCAGCAGCGCTGAGAATCAAGCTCAGCGTCAAACAATTAAGAGTAGATAGCTCTAATCATAGAGACGTGCTTCAACCAGTTCACTTTAGGGGAGCCACGTTACCTGAAAGATCAGCAACATTGAGGAATAATCTTTAACAGGTTCTGAGACACTGATCCAAAGGTAAATTACAACTAATATTTTAAGGTGTTGAGCAGTCAACGCTTCCTAGAAACAAAGAACTCGGGTTTTGCTTTTGTTGTTGAGATCTATCTACGTCAGAGGCCATGAAAAAGCTTAGTCCACGACTTAGTCAACCAGTGTTTCAACCCACAAGCCGCAGAATATGTTCTTATTCTGAGTGTTTTAATATTATCATGAAACCTCAAAGGATAAAAATCAAAAGTTTATTTGGCAGCGCTGTAGTCATCAGACTGACCGGTTGATCGATATGCTCTCATCCAATATAGCCTCTCATTGTTTCGACAATTGCTGGTGTCATTCTCCAAGGATACAAGTGCTACATCAATAGCCATTCAGGATTAATCTATTCTTTTTGGTAGGGGGAGGAACAGGAACAGACTACCTGAGAGAAACAGAATGGTCTGAACACACCTAACTCTAACTTAATCGAGATGGCCACGTCTACTTTACAAATGTTAACAAATGTAACTCAGCACCAAATTATGGCCACGTTTTGTTCAAATGAATGGCCACAAGTTGTGTGGAGACTTTGCAAATAGCTTGCATCTCACAGCTCAATGACTAATGAGGCATATTACCCAAAGCAGTATCTTAAAAGCTCTGCCTCAAGATTTTATGCAAACTTTCGTGCTTAACACTTAAGTGTTAACATATGAGAACATCAGTGTTTGGTCTCTCGTGTAGTCAGAAAAGAAAAAATGCAATTTGGCACCACTGACACGAGGCCGATTAGAGCTATTCCCTAATAGCTTTTGTGCTGATATAGCTCTATTGTCAAAACTCATAATTATAGACAGGTGCGCTGGTTGACTCAAGCTTTTTATGGTTATTTATTATTCGTTAAAACCAATGGGCAGATTTGTTTTCCCTTGTGATGAATCAGTTGTTTAAAGACTAGGCACAGTTTCAGCAGCAAAGTTGTTCTCTGATTAACTACAGTCCAATATTTAGCTTGAGCGCTTTTGTTTGTATGTCTACAGTCCTTCTGGAATGACATCTGCCACACAATTTACATATTTTCATACTTCCAACAGGTCATTTCACCCATTGGCAGATAATACATAGCAGGACTGAAGATCACAAAGCCTGGTCTCAGAAAAAAGACATTTTGCACATTTTAAAAGGAAACAGTGACAATAAATACCGATTAAGTGGATTAAAAGATGATTCTATGTAAAAATAAAATTAAAAAATAAACAAAACCCCCCCCCCAAAACGCATGACTCTCAAACGCTATATTTAAACATCATCATCTTTGGCACAGATACTTTCTCTCTATCCCACCTCATGAGTGTGGTTGCTTTGGAGAGACAATGTGTGATGGCCCCCCTGTGTGGAAGTGAGAGGAGAGCTTTATGAATAACTCCCCTCGCAGCCATGAATGGCACTTTGCTTTCCCACAGTATTACTCAGTTTACACCCCCACCATGGCAGGATAAGCCGTGAGCCCAAGCGGTGGCTGAGCCGCCAGTCACACGCAAAAATGTCACACGCTAAATGGAAGCAATAAAAGTGAGAACCTTGATTTTTTTTGGTTTAGTTTTATTAATGAAGTCACAAGGACGTATTAAGACTGTGTCACTGCAACTCTGCTGCAGTCAGTCACTTGTCATATCCAGTCTCTGCTACGCAACTTCTTAAAGACATTACAATACAGTGCTTTGCTCTAAGAAAAAGGGTGTGTTTTATGGTCACTGGAGTACTAGTACTAATGATGACGCACACATAACCAAGTAACCAGTTTGCTCATCCAGTTTTTAAAAAAAAAATGCGTTTATTGATAATTTGCAACCTGAGACTTAACATGACTAACACCATGTGGGTGTTTCTGCTTCGAGGTTTCAGCTTACCACACACTGCCTACAGATTCTTGACTTGATTATTTCTTTTAATTTCCATAAAAATGCAGCATTTGGATTTTTGTTTTACAAACAAACTACAGAGTATTAAGGATGACTAGCATCCCTTGCTCATTGGGAAAACGTGCTTAAAAGCATGGTAAATACGGAGGAAATCAACAAGCAACCTCTTTCACAAACACACCGACACATTGCACTCAAAAGTTTCATTTGTTGTCTCACCGATAAATAAAACACACATTTTATGTTAAAAGCACCTTGCCTACAAATCACAACAAAGCCAGAGAGCAGCACAAAGCTGGAACCTTTTAGAGTATGAAGGCATACAAAGAAGAAGTGAAGGGGAAAAATGGCTTCTGGGACAATATCACCACCCTAGCAACACATCTGTCCAGTGCCTGCTTTGTTTACTGGGGGATATTTCACTACACTGGAGGGGTTTTTCCACTCTCATTTAATTTGTCTTCACAGGACTACACTTGACAGCCTAACATGAGTTTGTGTCCTTTCTGCAAACACTAAAGTCAGATGAATGGATGAATACGCGGAAGGCAGTTTATTGTGGTAGTTTTTGGCAAAAGTATGCAGGTCGCGTGTGAATGATTAATTAGGGAAAAATATCTGTCTACAAGTCCGATTCAGTGCAAACCAAAGGAAAAAAAAGAAATTCTCTTTAGCCTTTGTGACTGATCTGAATGTGTCATCTCTCAGCACATGACTCAAACATGGGATCCTGCTGACACGGGAACACAAAAAAACAAAAGCTTTAAATTTCATCGGCAGCCCAGACAGCCTACAACACTACAACAGAGGCCACTGTGTGGCTACAGGCTCAATATGATTTCCTGCTGTGAGAGTAGACTGTCATTAATTTATTGTCAGACACCAATGAAACTATGTGTCTCCAAAGAGAGGTTTACGCCCTTCACTAGTGTTCAGTGGGAGGGCCTGTCACACCACATCAGAAATTTTAAGTCCCCTCTTGCGTAATGTTTGGGACAGTTCCTAGGACACATGAATGCTGGTATCTCCTTACAACACAGATGTATAAATAAAGCTTCATTCAGTGCTCACACACTCTGTTATGGAAAACTGTGATTTAGCCTTAAAAAAAAAAGAAAACTGAAAGAGTAGATCTTTCTAAATGATTTTAAGTCACAACTCAAAACATTTTCTGAGGGAAGCATTAATTTGGGGACAAGAAACATTCAGTTTAGTTAGGATATTCATATAAATCATCAAGTCAGATTACTGCCTAAAGTTATGGTGACATAAACGGTCGTTAAGTGGATGGATAACAATGGAAGAGGACATGTGAGCATGAATGGGACTAACACATAGCAGCTACGCAACTTTTTGTGCATGCTTTTTGTCAATCCCGGGGAAAAGTATGCATAGGGAGCAAATCATGTATTAGCACAAGTCTCTGCAGATGATGATAACCCTCGAAATGATGATGGATGATAAAAATAAACAACCCTGACCAAATGCATTATACAGTCACAATAAACCGACTATTGAACACCACAGACAAGCCAGAAATCCCTGGAGGGGTATTACAGTGATACCACAGGAGATAAAAACATAGCATAAAGCACAATGAAGCCCCTGTGAACCCACTGTTAAGTACCCACAGACACACCAAAACTCCCCACTGAATAACATTTTTATTTTTCCTTTTATACAAGAAGTACCACAAGCAAGTGCTTTATCAGACACACCCGCACGCACGCACACGCACACACACACACACAGTTAAGAATAAGAAAACAAGTAGTTACCTTCCATCCTGCAGAGCTGTTGCTGTCTCCTTTGTCCTTGAAATAAGGCACACTCTTCACCATCCAGTCATAAATCTGAGAGAGAGTTAGTCGGTTCTCGGGAGAACTTTCGATAGCTTTGGTTATGAGGTCTGCATATGACATATTCCCCCATGCGTTTCGCCGGGAGGAGCTGCTCTTCCTCTGGGCAGCGGCAGCAGCGGCGGCCGCGGCCGCTGAGGACGACGAGCCGACCGGGGTGGAGAGCAGAGGCACCTGCTGCTGCTGCTGATGCGGGAGTTGCGGGTTCGGGTGCTGCTGCTGCGGATGCTGCTGATGTTGCTGCTGCTGCTGCTGTGGAGCTTGCTGGTGGACGCAGTTCTCCTGACACTGGAAATCAGTGCACAGGATGATGGGTTTCTGCTCTGTGAAGTCCTCGGTCTCCTCCAGCAAGCTCAGGTTGTTGATGAACTCGGTGTTGTTGGCGGGTTCCTGCTTGACAGATGGGACTGGTGAAGAGGTGTTGGAGTCGCCCGGGTTGATAAACTCCGGCCGGGGCAATGGCCAAGTGCACGACCGGGGCCGCGACAGCGGTTCAAAATCCGGGTCGATTTCCACCAGGTGTGGCTGCTGAGGCGCTTCCGCCATGGTCGAAAGGTGAGTGAGAAAAGTGTTACAATGTCATGTAATTGTGACGAACCTGTCGCTCCTCAAAAGCAGCAACTTCGCCTCGGAGACGTGAGCGAACGCAAGATAAAACTGACCGGGAAAAGAGAGCTCCGCTTGGGCGCAGGAAACAACACTGAAAGTTACATCCCAAGTCGATAAAAAATTAAAAATAAATGTAAAAAAAAATCAGCTGATTAAAAGAATGATTCTAAAACGTCTTTCAAGTAAAGTCGAGTACGTGGTCACAGTGTGTTGACCCGCTGGTTTGTTTTTGTCCAGTCCTACAGACGTTCCGTCTGCTCCTCGTACAGCCTGTTGACTCTGTTGTACATACAGCTTGTGAGGACTTACTGGAAGTATCATTTGTCAGCTGACACCTCCCACATTTGACTGACAGCCGAAAAGCACCAATAAACTGCATCGAAAGACTAAATGAAAAAAGTAAACCTGTGGAGAGCAAATGTGGAAGATTTCTCTGTTTACTTTTTAAAAATTTTTTTTAACATAATTTCTACAGAAGAATTATATCCATTGCTTTTCCCTAAATATCCTGTATTTAGGTCAAAACTTAGCAACTCTAAATCATTCATTATTTACGATTAAATAAGAGCAATAAATATTCTGTTAGTATTGAAAGCAGACTACAGACTCTGTAAGAGTAATTGTAGCGTGTGTAGTAACATACAGCCAGAGTCTACACTGGCGCACCATCAGAGCGTCTTTATAACCTGGGGTCATTTTTGGTTCACACTAAAACTGGACGATGCCAATTTTAAGCACTGAACTGGAAATATCGCGCTCTGCGGGCTGTGTGGCTGCCTGTTGCTCGGGAAACGTGATTAGAGAAATGAATGGATTCCGCCGAGCATCCGCAAGTTTTAGATCCAAAAGTCACACAGTGAGTCAGGAAGCAGACCTCAAAAATCCACGAGGACGGTCACATTAGTTGAACATTACTGAGAATCCGTGGGTAGATTTTACATGTGCTGTGTGTGCAAGCTGTGATAACAAGGAGCAGGGGAATTACTTACCTGATGCATATTCGTATTTTCGCACATATCGCAGCTACTTTTACTTTAAATTCAATATGTGCATATGTTTATTGTACTAGCATATAAATAGTATATAAATGGCTGCACTGATGGCTAAAACAGGGCTATTTTTAATGCTTGTCGGCTGCAGGCGGTACTTTTGTTTGCTCAAGCTCGTCCTAAACTTTACTATTAACCAAAAAAAGATTCCATAATTAATTTGATACTTATGCCTCCCTGGATGACCTGGTAATAAGCTAGATTTGTCACAGAATCTGCGCTGTGTACACATTTTATAGTTTTAATTATCATTTCATGAGCAAAAATGCTAATAAAAGTAAGGTCTTTATAAAATGTTCTCAAATGGTAAAAAGGAAAATACAAACTTGGGGGTTAAAAAAATGAAGTAAATGGACTCGTTCCTTTCATGATCTGTGGCTCTACCACTTTGAGACTGTTTGCTGGAGCAGAAGCTGTCTGGTGTCTTAAGCCAACTGTGGAGTAGGGGGACACCTTGTGGTCTTCATCGGGTATTACAGTCAGACGGGGCATTACTGGCATAAATTCGGAAGTACAAGATGAGTAAATTCGGGGGAGATAATTCCGTCAACATTGCGCAATTATTCGAGTACGTGAGTGGAATGAATACACGATGGATTTAAGTTATCACATAAAGTACTCCACTGTACTAGAATCTTGGGATATCTTCCTCTTAATATCACGACAAAACTTGTAATAGACACGCCGGTCCGCATATTCATACCGCTGTTAAATCTATCGAGACATCATTCACAGATGATGTTACGATGCAGAAAGCTATTTCATTCTAATCAGCGAAATGTCACAAGACTGAGTTTAAAAAAAATAGAGCCTGTTGCCAAATATGACTTTAACTCGGTGATCAGTAGTGTATCATATATCTAATCTATATCTCATATAATTAAACTATTATCCAATTAATTAATTTTAAGAATGAAACCGTGTGTTTAACTGAGTGTGTCTTTTTCTCTGTAGCGTGAACTCCTTGAGCGTTTTGCGCTCGGTAGGACGGGACAAATATCCGCCAATGAAATGAACTTATCGACAAAACGGTAATACTTTATGTTGTTGCATCAACTAACACTGAGCTCCCACGGACAACAGCACGGATGAATAATATTACGTCTGAGTTATGTCCTGTGTTTCTTGAATGTGCAGCTACCTCCTTTCTGCGAAGTCAGATCATGTGGGAACTTGTGTCGTAAGGTGGAGTGAAAGTACAGCGACGCGTTAAATGCTCCCACTGTTCTTTGCGAAGGATTAACCTACGCTAAAGAGATTACAGGTAAGCACCACGGGCTCCTTCTAGGTGCTTCATTTTACTGACTTCCTCTGTTAAAACAACTTATTTCTCATCTAAGGCTCGTTTTTAATCTCTTTTGCGAATAATGTCATGTTTTGTGATTGCGTGTGGAAAAAAGGATTAGGGAAAGGTGAAATGAATGAAAACCATGTGGATATTTTCAGGCTCGTGTCCTTAAAGTCACGATGGCTCCACATCCTGTAATTCAGGCGATCATCGACTTCTCAGCTGGAGCTGCAGGTGAGTTTAACGTAAAGACACGGCCGTATTTCACGCCACTCGCATCAGATTGAAGATAATCACTTGGACCAGCTTTGTGTTGCTTTAAAAGTGACCCAAACCCTGGCAGCAAAAGGATCACAGCATAACACCTACCTGATCCCATCAGTGTGGGGGTGAACGGTTTAGTCCAAGCTGTCATTCAATTATTAACGTAAAGAAGTGAGGAAGGTTAATTTTGCAAAATTCAAAAATTGGGATATGCTCAAAGATTGGAAGCAGGCCACATCTATTTCAGTATTGATCGTCTTTAACACCATTTGCTGTATATGTCCAGTTATTTATCTAAAGTTTAGTCAGAGGTCAGAGGGTTTATATGCTGTACTCATCATTGACATGAATGCCATGGATATTTTCAGCTTTTAATGATTTATTTGAGCTGGGTTTTTTTCTGGGGTGAAATAACTGCACAACATATGTATTTAATGATTTTTTTAATAAAGCAGTAATTATATGGATAGGCTTGGGTTTATTTGGGAGTTTCTCTTATCTGCACAGGTTCAAAAGTATACATAGAGAGTGATATGCTAAATCACCCACTAAAATCTGACTTGTTGAAGGTTGTACAATGTCTTTTAACCTGACAAGGACATGGCCTATTAACTTTTCATTAGTGATCATGACTGACTACAACTGGTTGTTTCTCTTTGCCAGCATAAAAAAGGATTTCGTTGACAGCACGCATTAGATTCAGTAATCTGTAACTGATTGGTGCAGATGTCATGTGTGCTTCAGCATCTAACTAGTGATCATAAAAGGAGTAACATTTTTTAAGTGGCAGATAACTTCAAATGCAACGTTTCAATCGGCCTAACAAATATCAGCAAACACACAAACTGTTTGTGAGCAGTCTGTCACACAGTGTGTCTGCAAGCTAAAGGTACAGCTGCTGTATTTCCCAGGGAGAATGAGAGATAACTTCACTCAGAGATGGAGAAAGATGTAAGAAAGAAAAGAAGGGAGAGGAAGAAGACAGGTTATATTTAAAGGTAAGGACTGCTCAGTGGCCTTTGATAAAGTGGAAATTTAAAGCTTAGATGTAATGTTCTTAATTTTAAATCAGATAATGGATCTGTATATGATTTGAAGTTATATATTTTAAAAAAAACACTGCTAAGTGTGTACTTTTTACTTTGTGTTATTCAAAGGTTGCATGAAAGTACAACACAGTTTCATGCAGGATAAACCAGTTTGCTTTGCCATACTGTGAATTTACAGTAAAGCACTGTGTTGGACTGGTGCACAGCGGCTGTGGTGTTTATGGTCAGTGTTAGGTTACATCAAGGTTAGGCGAGGTCAATTCACTGAGTTATACACACTGCATACTGTCAGTATAGGGAATGGAAATAATCCGAGATAGCTAAATCCACAAAGAGCAATAAACCAGGTGAACTCTACAAATTGTGCCAACAAAAGTGCTCCAATATTCAGCTAGAACTGCCAGAAGTTTGCTGATGGCTACCAAAAGGTGTAACTGGTTGAGATGTAACTTGCACTGTTTGCTTACCAAATACTAATGGGGGTATGTGTATAGATTTTGACCTTGTATATGTTTTTTGACACTGTGTGTATTAGAGAAACATGAAAATAAATTCAAACCTGTGCACCCAATTTTTGTTTTTTTAAAGTCTTTAATGATGTATGTTGTACAATTCTTCCACCCTGGAAAAGGAACAGTTAAAAAATAATTAAAACCTCAAAAATACAGTTTCTTAAGATCAAATATTATACATACACACATATGTATCTTAATACATCTACATATATTTTTATAGTCTGATTTCCAATACTTTTTAATCTCTGAGTTCTTCTCAGTTATTCCGTCTTGATGCCCACTCAGGTGGCACAGCCTGCGTGCTGAGCGGTCAGCCATTTGACACAGCAAAGGTGAAGATGCAGACGTTTCCCACAATGTACCGCGGCTTCATCCACTGCTTCATCTCAACATTCCGGCAGGTGGGACTCCGTGGTCTTTACAAAGGCACAACGCCTGCCCTGATAGCCAACATCGCTGAGAACGCGGTGCTCTTCTTGAGTTATGGGCTCTGCCAGGATGCCGTCCGCTTTATGTCAAGGATGGACAAAGGCGCTGATCTCAGGTTGGAAGAAGATATTTCTGACTATTTATTTACATAATAACCTGCATAATATGTAACAGACTTCAGTGAGGAGCAGCTGGGTATAGCACAATTTGATGTTAAATGTTCATGTGAACCAGGACTCTCAGTTTTCAGTGTCTTGAGAGATTTTCGGGGGTTCAATCCTCCACATTTTCTTTCCGCTCTGTGACTTGCTGCCTCCTCTTTTCACTCCCTGTGCAGAAAAGCATTTCATCATGTACTGAGATGCAACATCATAATAATAAGTGGGTGTGCTCACACAGTTTAAAACTTTAGATTAAGTGTCTTTCTTGGCAATTGAGAATGAAATAATAAAGTGAATAATAATTAAGTAAATTCCCCACAATAATAATTATCTATTGCAGCCAGAAATAGAAACTAAATGAAGAGAAATGGTTTTCAGTGACGCTCTTTAGAGACAAATGTTAAAACTGATGGAGCATTTTTAAAGGATTTAAGTTGTTTGGGATATTCATTTTGATTTTAATGAAAAAGCTTCTTTTTGTCATTCAATGAACTATAATGAAAATACTGCCATTAATATTACACATTGAACCCACTGAAATCATGCTCAGCCAAACGGGCTTTAAACTAATTGCATTTTTAAAATAATTTTCCTTAACCAGCTTTGTATTTTGAGCTGTCTGATCACTTTAAGAAATACCTTTTTCTACAGTTGTGCCACATTGCATTTATCACAACCTAAATCTTTATTTTATGTCACAGTAAACAGTGATTAGCATAAGAAAAAACTAGAAATGACGAGAATATTTCTTTGATGTAACTGCAAGGAAAACTTTTTCCTCAATTTGAGCCTCTTTTTTTTTTTTTTTGCAAAAAAGGCCCAAATGAGTGTAGCTGCTAATTTTCAGATGGTCGCTCTCTTCCTAAGCTGTTCATCTAATTTTGATAATGGAATTTGGAATTGTATCAAGTATGAAATACAGCTTATATTATCTCTATTTGACCTTTCAGCTTCTTGCCTGAACTTGGATTTGAGCATCCTAAAGCAGGAAATCTGTAATGCTGTAAAAGTATATGTTTTAGTAAGGCATATTTAAATGCCTTTGCATTTCCTCTAATAGCTCTTTGGGAATCGCCTTCGCTGCACAAAAACATTGTTTTTAGTTGTCAAACTCTGTTATCTTTGTGATTTTTCATAAATTCAACTAAAGAAGCTGAAACAGATTGTGTTTTTGTAACAGGCTGCTTCCCTGCCTAAAGACACAGTTTAGAATTGGTTCTTTGCTAAGAATATCTGCTATATGTGTAGACACAACACTGGTTCATCTCATGAGTTAAGTACCTTTTTATCTTTGAATGATTCATAGCTCAGTGTTAAGGAAATAAAAAAAACAAACATTCCTGTGAAACTGATCAGGTACAAGAATCTTGGAAAACTATTGCTCAACATGACTTTAAAATTTACAAAAAAGCCTGGCACCTTGGAAGCAAAATATATGAAATGAAATGAGTGTGACTCAAACCTTTTGCATAGTAGAGTCAGAAGCAGACTCATCACATTAAAAATCCATAAGGTTTAGCGCATTTATCTCCGTACCAAATGAGTGATATAATCACAACACTGGAAAACCGTCTTGGGAACAGTCATTAAATCGATATCCATTAAGAGCTCTTGATCGTCCGACAGATGCCAGTTATTTGTGTATCAGCGGTCAGAGCAAACCTTAGCACTGGCTGCATGAGGCAGAAATAAAACAGTCTCTTTTTTGTAGTTCTAAAATTGAAGATGGGGATGTATGTACATTAAAACCCTTTCCTCTTCATACTCTTATCTTTTGTTGTACTTGTCATTGCTCGTCAGTGATCTTCAGAAGGCATCTGCAGGGTCTTTAGCTTCCATCTTCTCCTCCATGGCAATATGCCCCACAGAGCTGGTGAAATGTCGCTTGCAGGCCATGCATGAAATGGAAGCATCTGGCAAGGTGGCAAGAGGACAGAAAAGGTAAGTGGAAATCAAAACCTGACATTGTTATGACAAGAAAAGTTTTAGTTGACCAAAGCTGTGCTAGACTTTGTTTTCTGGGATGTCTTCAGCACAGTGTGGACTGTGGTTAAGACCGTGTTGAAGACAGATGGCCCGTTAGGATTCTACCAAGGACTGATGTCCACCTTCATGAGGGAACTTCCTGGTTACTTCTGCTTCTTTGGAGCCTATGAGTGGTGTCGGTCCACATTTGCGCGACACATGGGCACAAGCAAAGATGGTATAGGTATGGTTATATCATCTTCTTGTTGTATTTATGGTATTTTTGGAGTTTGTAGTATGTTTGTATGTTTCTGTGGACTCAAAATAGTTTCTGCCTTTGCAGGTATTCTTCCGCTGATGTTCAGTGGGGGATTTGCAGGAGGATGTCTTTGGTTGGTGGTCTATCCAATAGATTGTATAAAGTCCAGGATCCAGGTGTACTCCTTAGCAGGGAGGCAAGAGGGCTTCATCAAGACCTTCATGGGTGTTATACGCACTGAGGGTAAGGTTTGAACATGTATGCACAGATGAATATGAGTGGGTTTTCTGATTCTCTGTGTGATGATTGTAGTCTTGGGAACACATACTTTTGCAGGATGCACCCCAAATGCCATTTTGAATATATTGGCATGTGTTATATTTCTTTATGTCTGTGAACGTAAGTTAAGAAATATGATAGTGTCAGCAGTGTAAGCAGCAGTAGGTCACAAAACTTTACAAGTGTGTAGCTGTGATCCGATTGAAGGCCACAATTGAAGATGGGGAGGGTTCTGACCCACAACATGTAACTAATCTTTAAAGAATGTGGGGTGTGGACTTTAAACTGGGACTTTAACCCTTGCTTTTGGCACCCTTTACTACTGGCTTATAGGTTAGGACACACATGTGTTCAAAGTAGGCCCTTATCTTGATGCCAGGCTGTAATATTCAGAATCAGAAAACAATATCTAAGCAGACAAACCTCCCCACTTCATAGGAGGTGGGTAACAGTAAAAACTGAAAACAATTATTGTGAGAGACAATGTTTTATAACCTTATGTAACATATCAGAGATAAATGCACTATAAAACACTGTTCTGTGACATTGCAGCTTTAATAACTGTTATCTGTGTGATAAGGGTATATTGACAGACTGTCATTTTGAAATATTGCTAATTGGTCCATGCTGGGTTTTTTTTAATCTGTAGAGAACAGTCTGTGCAGCTTTTCCTCTTTGTCCCGACAGGGTTCACTGCTCTGTACTCTGGCTTAACTCCTACAATGGTGCGCACCTTCCCTGCCAACGGAGCCCTCTTCCTGGCTTATGAGTTTAGTCGCAAGTTAATGATGGATGCCGCTGGTGCCTGATGCAATGGATCTTTCCAACCAAAGCAAATATTTTAATAAAAAAAATCCTTATAACAAGAAAAGTGCTGTAAGTGTAATATGCTGGTCAAACTCATGTGAAATGAAGTATTAATCTTGAAAAGTTTTAGTACTTCCACTGGCCTTGCTGTGGCAGTACAAGTTTACTGGGTGTCCATGAGTTTCATTTGTTCTCGCCTGACAAGGAGAAGAATGGGAAGGCATGCATAGTCACCACTCATCTTCTTTCCAAGGCCATTGTTCTTTCATGGCTGTTTATTTGTTTGCACTTCATTCACTACTTGTTAACTAAGGATATTTACTTATTGAGAAAGAAACCTTTATTTTTGCCAACTCTTTTTTATTTTTAGTGTGTGTGATCCAGTGGTATGAAACACTGTAATATATAAATATAATAAAAACAGAATCATATGTGAGTTATTTGGACTAAGATCTCAGGTGTTAAAAAGTCAAGGAAAAAAGGGGCAGTACAAACACTGCACTTGAAAATGACCTTGTTCTTTTTGTCAAGTCAAAAAAGAAATTACAGTTGTATTTTTGGCCCATTCACTTTAATAAAAGTGGAGCATGTGTCATAAGATTGTGCAAATGCATTTAAATTACAATTTTATAAAAATGGGTAAAAGAAAAGTGAAAAACTTCAGGATCTCCACGGCCAAAAAAAACCCCCAAACCAAAACACCCACTCTTCCTAGAAAAAAACAGAACATGAAGTTATACATGTGAAAACAAAAAACAGGAGAAACATTGAAAAATAAACACATCAGAAACTCCTGTGAATCTTTTCATGAAGGGTCCAAAAAGTCAGTAGACCCAACACTGCCAGACTAATGACTTTCCGTGTAAGGTTCAATATAATCTATATTCCATGAAAAAGAATTTTAAACCTCATAAATAATCCTTAATTTTGTAAAAACTTGGGGAATCCATGGGAAAAATGTGAGGAAAACTACGTATCATCTTCTTTGAACATCACCTCTCATGTTTCATGACTTGGATACAACAATTATTTATTCATGTGACGGACTCAGGTGACAGACTGCTGAACTTAAATGTACGAAAGCACAAGAGCAGGACTGAGATAGCTTTTCAATACAAGAGCCACAAAGATCCTGGTTAAACAAAAATGGTTCATGTTACATCTTAGCAACCTAAAGGTGACTTACAGGGCAAGCGTGCCTCACTGTTGTAGAAAGCAACCGGTGTTAAGGGAAAAAAAACCGCACCCACAGAGAGAACAGACACGTAAACAAGTGCAGTACTGTTCTAGCTTGCTCGATCACAGACAACCAATGATTTCTACAACATCCAGCACAGCAGAGATGGTCACACAGGATAAACTGCAGAAAAATGATGGCATTATTGAAGGTAAATACTTTTTATAACCCATTGTGAATGTTTATTTTTAGAATAAGGGATATAAAATAAGGGCTGATTTTTCTCCCAAGAAACCTTATGTTAAAGAGTCCAGAATTGTAGGAGTTGCATAGGACAGCTGTGCTGTGTAAAAGTCTTGTGCCTCACTTCATTTCTTTCTAATTTGCTAGGGAAATCTGTACAGTAAAAGATATAGAAATGTGTAAAAGTACAGTGGGAGTATAGTATATACTGTAAGACAAAAGCACTTTTCTCTACATCTAAGGGATTTATTTCTATTTAACATTGGGAGCAATTCGGGGTTCAGTATTGTGCTCAGGGAGCCATCCGTGGAGCAGCCAGGATTGCTCCACCAGCGTTCTGATTAACAGATGTCCTGCTCTACATCCTGAGCAACATCCACCCCTAAATATATTATTCTTCAGCATTCCTTAAGTAGTCCTCAGGAATCCTGGCTTCGTAAAGGACATTCAAAGCCCTTCTTTGGATGCTGGCTGTCTTTTGTTCCATTCCTACACTGCTTCAGTGATATTGAGGTCCAGGCTTTGGGGAGGCCAATACATCACCAGTAGGGTTGAATTGTGCATTTTTCTATTTAAGCCAAACATACTGTAAACACGTTTAGTGCATTTACACTGTGCTTAGATCAAAATCTGATAGTACTTTTCACATGCATTCATCAGTTTTGACAAGATCTCCAACACCACTAGATGAAATGCAGACCCAAACTATTGCAAAGTCTCCACTGGACAGAAAATGAGAGGAAAAGCAGCCAAAGAAAACCTTAGACATGCCTTCACATGCCTGGTGAAATGTTTCTCAGGACAAAATATAAAGAAATGATGGGTGGCTCAAGACTTTTGTAAGTAAATTTGATAAGAATACCAGCTCTTCAGTGCACAGCATAGATATTTAAATATTTTATTTTTTGCCTATAATTTGTACTAGGCTATTTTTATAGTAATATTTTAACACATTAATCATAGCTCCAAAAACTGTGAAAAGGAGGAAAGCAGTGAATTAATAATTACCATATATTTACCCAAATATCCTTAACCTACATAATCATTTGGCATATTAATTTAATATACATCTTAATCACATTCTATTTTAACATCACTTATTGCATTTCAATAACATGGCCTCTCATTTAGAAAAGCATTAGTCGTCACCATTTATCATAATTGGCTGGCATTTTTTTAATATTAGAAGTAAATAAATTAAATTATCCGTAGTTATGTGTTAGCTTTGTGTCTAGTGAAAAAGATTCACCTGAAAGTCTTCCTGAAAAGACTTTTTTTCCCCCTCCCACCCTGTATATGACACAGAGAGTGACATCTCAGTGTTTTAATGATGATATTTGAATAGCTCAGTGAGTTTGCACAACACTTTGTGACTCACGTGGATTTTAAGCTACGTGCCTTCCCTTAGAAATTATTTACATCATTAGTGAAATAGGAGCGGTGTAGATCCATTACATCTCTCGGCACTAATATTCTGTGTCACCTTTAATAAAAGGTGGCGTCCCAGTGGAGCATATTACTGGATAATTATATCATCAAAGTAACACCAAGAACTTAAGGTTTGAATTTAAATGTGAAATGAAGGTGCCATGAAAAAAAAAGCAAGATATTGTACATACCCTGCACTTTAAAAACTTGTAAAGTGTTTCTGCTCTTTTTGCAGATAAAAACTCAGGGAAACTGGGATGCTGTGGTTGGCTGTTGGTTTTCATATCCATCATCTTTGTAATAGTAACCTTTCCACTCACAATATTTATGTGTGTCAAGGTACAGTATATTCTCATTGCGGAGCACTGCTTCTTAGGATTTAATCACTATTTCTTCACATAGATGTGTATACATACCGTGAAAAAAATACTCCATTTATATTTCTGTATTTCTTATTTACTGTTGTGTGATTGGTTGTCTCCAACATTCAGATAGTGAAGGAGTATGAGCGAGCTGTCATCTTTAGACTCGGCCGGATCACAGACAGAAAAGCTAAAGGGCCAGGTTTGTGGTTAAATATACAACAAACACTTTGGTTAAGCCATCCCAGAAACCAAAAGGAAAAATAAAACTGTTGGCTTTGGAAGTTGACTCCACATTATCATCTGAACTGCCTTTTATCTTTTTCCAGGACTTTTCCTAATATTACCCTGCACCGATAACTTTGTGAAAGTAGATCTGAGAACTGTGTCCTTTGATATCCCTCCTCAAGAGGTATATTCTTGCTTTGTTTCATTATGAAAGCACTCTGGTCTCTGTTATCTCATGCATCACAAGCTGTCTGTAGTTAAACAAACTGCAATTTTTGTAAACATTTGCAGATCCTAACGAAAGACTCTGTGACAGTGTCTGTGGACGGTGTGGTTTACTTCCGCGTATACTGCCCCATTTCAGCAGTGGCCAATGTGACCAATGCGCACTCATCTACTCGACTGCTTGCTCAAACCACTCTGAGGAATGTCCTTGGTACCAAAAACCTTGCAGAACTTCTATCTGACAGAGAGGGCATTTCACTCAGTATGCAAGTGAGGATAAAGTGCTGTTACACCTATTACAAAAATTTTCATTTACGTTTATATATAAGCATACCCTTTAAAAAAGGTAAGAAAAGCCTTATTACAGATACTTTTAGAGCTCCTTCATTCCCACCCGCCATTCAAAGAACACTTTTTTTTTTGGCCACAAGGAGAATGCTAGAACAAGTAGAAGCCACTGGTTTTCTCACTGTAGAGTATAAAGTATTTGATTTGTTGTTTATTAAACTATAACTGTGACTAGAGTGTTTGATATTGGATGTTACCCTGCAGGAAGCCCTGGATGAAGCCACTCATCCATGGGGTATCAAAGTGGAGCGTGTAGAAATCAAAGATGTGAAGTTGCCTCATCAGCTGCAGCGAGCCATGGCAGCAGAGGCTGAAGCCAGCCGGGAGGCCAGGGCCAAGGTAATGAGAGGAATGGAAGACTGAATTCAATTTCCTTTTCATGTATTCAGGCCCAGAAATGAAACATCAGAAGATACTGATCGTCTGCCTATATTTCAGATCATTGCTGCAGAGGGGGAGATGAATGCTTCCAGGGCTCTGAAAGAAGCCTCTCTGGTAATGGCTGACTCACCCTCAGCTCTCCAGCTAAGATACCTTCAGACTCTCAACACCATCGCAGCAGAGAAGAACTCCACCATCATCTTCCCTCTGCCAATAGATATAATACAACATTTCATGCATTGGAAGGCATGAATCTCATGTCAACCAAGTTGCATATAATTCAAATCAAGTCAGATTGTCGCAGATTTGTTTTGTTTTTTTGCAATATCACCATGTTTACATTTAGAAAGCTCCAGTGAGAGCTTTTTTTTTTTTTTTTTAATGCAGGCCTAATGTGGTTATTGCTGCAATCTGCTCTGCATTATTACTTATTAACCTTAAAAAGAGGCTCTTCCTTCTTGTGTATACTTGCTGTGATTTAATACTTAAATACAAAGTGCAACATATACAGTATAGACAATACTTCTCATCATTCACCACAATATGTTAACCAGCTAAGCTACAGTTACAGTTTTGAGGGATGACAATAAATAAATGCACAGGAAGTGTAAGGTCAAAACAATGCACGTAAACCTTATAAAGGCATGCTTTCAGACAACCGTATCCAGCGCATGGGTTTCTGAAATACTGAATAGGAACATAAATCATGTAAAACAACAGAAGCAAGGCGATGCAGCAACCTTTTCTGACATTGGATGTAAACTGTAAACAAAACCTCTTATTCTAGTGTCGGACAAACATTCGGTAAATGAGTACAAGGTCATGTCCACAGGACACAGGCATTCAGTGCAATCAGAGTACCTGATGGAGAGAGCCATCATTTCCACTTCCTTTCAAAACACCCACCAGAGATGACGTTAAACATAATCAACTTGTATTAACAGTAAATTTAACTCACCTAGAACCAAATCCCTATTTCAGCAGATTTCCATACTTTATGTCTGAGGGAATGGATAAAAGAAAGCCTGCTTTATTACAATGTATTAATGTCATAAAATCCCATTTCACTTAATTATTATGTGTTTCCTGACTGTGTTAGGCTCTTTAAAATAGTTTTTTACAGAACGCTTACATCCAAATAAAATTTCTAGAAATGCTATCTGGCAAAACAGACATTTGAGACAGGTGGTTATATGTAAACATGAAAAAAATACAATACAAAAAAAGGCAGTTGCTTCCTTTTGATGACTCTTAATTCTCCTCAAGACCTGAGATTATTCTCTACAATGAGAAATGAGGTAACATTGCAATCAGACTCTCGTGCTTATTTTGATGGAAATGTAATCAGTTTGGGGTTTTTTGTCAATTGCGGTTAATTCTTTCTCTATAAAGATTTCTGTGGTGAAAACACACACAAACAATCAAAATAATAATAAACATCAACAGAGAAAACAGCAATAGTTTCAGCTAGCTGCCAGAGCCCTGACAGTATAATCTTAAAATGCAACAAAACAGATAAATGTTTTGCAACGTCTGCACCATTTATGGCTGATTCGGCAGCAATTAAGTCCAACCATATGACAGCTACAGTACTTAATGAACTGCTGTATTCAATGATTTCCTCTTTGGTGGTTTCTATGTAGTCTGCATGTTCACTTTGTAGGACATGTTTATAAACTGCTCAACAACAAAAAAAAGTGAACACTTGATCATCACAGCATAACACAAACTGAGCTAGACGTCAGGAATTAGACTGTCCAGTAAGGAAGCAAAACCAGCAGCACTGGAGAAGCATCAAGAAGATCCACCAAACACTGAATGATGCTGCATGTGGTGACTATACACTGCTGTCTTCTCTTATCCTTTCTTATTTTTCTGCAGTTTTGCTCTTTGCTTGTGTCACTGTCACTACTGGTAGCATGAGACTGTACCTGCACAAGTAGCCCAGCTCCTCCAGGATGGCACCAGAAGATGGGAAAAGAGGGGTCATATTAAGAGAGAACAGGGGCTAAAGCACGGGCATCAACCTAGCTGCAAAACCAGTATCTGCTCCTCAGTGCAAGGAAGAACAGGTGGAGCCAGAACCCCTCAAAATGACCTCCGGCAGTTTACTCATGTACATGTTTTTGAACATACTGTCACAAGACAGTCTCGATATGTCTTTTTGCCGGACCTGTGCAATTCTGCCTCCCCAGACCATCACTGACCTACTGCCAACCCAGTCATGCTGGATGATGTTACAGGCAGCAACGTTACCAATGGCATACTGGAGGTCATTTTCTAGGGCTTTGCTAGTAATCTGCACAAAGGCACAAAGGAGCAGATCTACGGCCTGTCCAGGTCTGCTCATACAACAGCCCATCACCCCTGGGGTCTTCTCCACACTCTTGGAGTAAAAAAATCATTCTGAAAGGATCAGGAATAAGCAAAGATGTATGTGAACACGTGTTAAACCTTTACCTTCTTGGAGATTTTCTTGTTGTTTCATTTGCACAAAGGCAGATTAAATTGATTAGTAATAATTTTTTTGCTTCCTAACCGGACAGACTACTATTCCTGAAGTTTAACTGACTTTGCTTCATACTGCGATGATCAAGTGTTAACCTTTTGAGCAGTCTATTATATTAATTCATCTGAAGGGTGTGAAGGGCATCAACTCACCTAGTGTGAAATGTATAACGCAATGTTTTACCTTTAATGAATCCTGTTCAAGTTAATAAGAAATTCCTTTTAAATCGCGATGCTCCACTGCCCTTCCGTGCCACTTCATCACACTGTAGGCAATCCTAAAATATAGTTAATTATAACTGGAAGACAGATCATGCTTTAAAGAGAGCAATACATGTACAGATTTTACAAAGTATGGTCAGGAAAACTGTTGACTGTGTTGGCAGTTCAGAAGATACAAGTTGGGTTGTTGTTGTAGCCACACATTTCAGGTCAATGCTAATATGCAAGTTAAAGTAGCATGGATGATTGAGGTTAAACGGCTTGATATTCACTCATAAACTCCTACAATATTTCAGGATGAAAAGGATAATAAGCCCCAGAGAAGAATCTGAACATTGAGAGTAATACTGTAGGTAGTTTTGTGATTTTACTCACAAAAAGAATTTTCCTTGTCCTGGTGGATGCTGCTGGTGGGAGAGAATGGATGGCAAAAGGCGCTTTTTGTGTTTGTTGTTGCACTTTTGATTATCATTATGTCTTGTACATCCATCATCCTGAGCGCTGGATGAGAAGATGGAGATGTAGGCGAAAACATGGAAATGAGGCACCGTGATTTTCATTCTGCTCTCCAATCAATCTACAATCTGTGGGAGTTTTTCAGTGCATCTGCTGTGTGTTGTGTTCGTGTGGAGTTGGAAAATCTGAGGGCAGAGAATTCCTTCTTTTAGTAACAGGTGTGATTAACAGTACAATTGGTTAGGTCAGTGGGGTTCAAACTTTAAATCACATAGGCAAGTGGATTTTCCCAACAAACAGACCTATTTGTGTTTATATAGTGTAACATCCATCCCTCTTCTGATTGAGAGAAACATTCACCCAAGAGGTTTAAAACAAATGAGGCCTTCTGATTCCAGCTAAAAGCTTTTGGTGACGAGAACTTCCAGAAGAGCATCACTGGTGATACGAGTGTGGACGGGCAGGAGAGCCTGGTCCAGAGGGTGGCCGATGGATAGGGGAGGAGCTGGGGGACATGCGAGGACTCAGCTCTCCGGTCTGTAGGCGCCACAGCAGCTCCTCATTGGTGCGACTAAGGCGCTTCTTCTCATTGCTCTCCTTCTCCACGTTCACTTGCAGATTAGCATTCTCTTCAGAGAGTTGCCTAAAGTGACAAGGAAAAGGTCACGTTGTGTGGTCACGTTTTTTGTTTTTTTTTTCTTACTGATTTTTGCACGTTAACTGTTAAAGTTCATCACAACACAAGGAGAAAAAGACTGAACAAGTATGGCTTGTTTGGAACAACTGTCAGGAGAAAACCTTTTCTCTAAAAAAAAGTATGGCAGCACAGTTCAACTTTGCAAAAATCCATCTGAACAAACTTTTCAAAAGTACTTCTGGAACAATGTCCTCTGGTCATAATGCACAGCACCATGTTTGATGAAAACCAAAATCAGGATAACAGCATAGCATCAATGCCTCATATCAAGTGTCAAAGACGGTGGTGGAGCGACGATATCTGCTTATTTTTCTAACCACATGACCCAGGCACCTTGCTATCATTGAGTTGACCGTGAACTCCTCTTATACCATCTGTCTGACAGCCAAACAAGCTTTATCAAAATTGAGTCAGGCAACAGGACAATGATCCCAAGCACAGCAGCAAATCTGCAACAGAATGGCTGAAAAAGAAAAGAGTCAAGGTGTTCCAGTGTTGGGCCACTGCTTGATTCAGTGTTAACACAGAATCCAGTCAAGGAATGGCCCATCTAAATCACATCATTTAGGTGAATTATCCCTTTTCTGTTGCATCAGTTTACTGAGCTTCACCAGCATTCGTTTATGCTCTCTTAAGATAGGATCACCCAGTGTTAACACTGTGTGCTGTGATTATCTAAATGATGCAAGAGACTGATAATATTATGCACAAAACAATTATTCCAAGTTACCAGTGGTGGTTCTATAAAGTATTGAATTTCTGCATTCAGAATTATGGGTTTCATTATTGTAAATGTTTCTAAACATTAATTATGTGTAGAGTTTGCATGTTTTCTCCGTGTTCGCGTGGATTCTCTCTGGGTGCTTCCTCCTACAGTCAGAAGACATGCAGTTAGTGGGGATAGGTTAATTGGAAACTAAATTGCCCATAGGTGTGAATGCTTGTCTGTGTCTATGTGTTAGCCCTGCGACAGACTGACGACCTGTCCAAGGTGTACCCTGCCTCTCGCCCTAACGCCGCTGGGATAGGATACAGTCCCCCTGCGACCTTGAAAAGGATAAGCGGATGAGAATGGATGGATGGATGGATTAACTGACCTCTATAAACAAAAATATTCTGTATAACATAGATGATATATCCAGAAAACTGCAACACTTCTAAGACAAGAAAGCACCAAGCACAGTTACATTTCGTGGTTGGAACTTTAATCAGCACATGTATGGATTTTCTCTGACCTGGACACAGCGAGATTCTTGTCTATTTGTTCCTTCAGGTCCTCATTCTGCTGTTGTAACACTTGTAGTTTCTCCTCCAGGAACACATTCTTTGCAGCCTGCTCAAAAAACACAGGTAACACAGTACACCACACTAAAATACTTGTGGAACGAGTGAAACAGTGGTGCAGGCTAAATGATTTGGGTTTACAAAGGAAACATTAGCGCTAATGAAAGTAGATGGGAGGTAAATGGGAAGGCTGCAGTAACGATACACTTTATAACTAATGAAATCATTCATAAATCTCAGCAAGCTGCCATGAATCATACCAACTTAAAATAAGTTTTAATGCACTGGATACTTTGCAACATACTCCAGATGTTCTCTGGTAAAAACTTGAAACCTACTATTTTCTCCAGTTCTGAAATCTTCAGCTCCTGCTGATGGATTTGTTGATTTTTCATCTCCAGAACTTCTTTGAGGCTCTTCAGGTCCTCCTCAATGTGTTTATAGGGAGCCAAAGCATCCTTTTAAAAAGCATTAAAAAACACCACTAAGCTGTAAAACCAATCAACAAGTTTTATGCTGTTAATGTTGCTACTGTCACATCAGCAGTAAGCAGTGTATCGTGAAGCTCTTACCACGATCTGCTCATCTGTGCTTTTGCGGAGAGCTTCTTCAAATCGTTTTGCTCGATCTCTGAGACTACGGTTCTGAAATGTCAGTGTGTCCACCTGATCCTGATGACCATGGATATTAAACTGTTAGTGACTTAAACTATTAACTAGGTCATATTATGAATTTTTAAGGAGAACTGTTAACCTGCAGTGACAGTCTGATCTTTTCAAACTCTTCTTCCAAAGACTTCCTCTGTTGTTCATGGGCCATCTTCAAATCTGACACGAGAAACACACACCGTCATGTTTCTTGACCTGCAGTGATTCAGTGCAGGGTGGCAACAGGTTTTAAATGGGGCGCTTACTCTTCACAGTCCTGGCATGCTCCTCTTGCAGAGTGGCCAGTGTATCATTGTGAGCCGTCTCCATCTCCATCAAGGACGCCTCATGGTTCTGACTCATCTCCTCAAGCTGCAAGCAACAATTACAAAAATAACTCATCAGTGCTACCCGCTGTTCACATACATGCGTATATATGAACACCATGCAACACACTATTTTCTCCCATTTTTGTTTCTCTTTAATAAATGTTTCTGTTAATATTTTATAAATTTTAAAAAAATTCATAGATAAAAATAACCGCTGCGATTTACTTTTGTCTTTTAGATAAACTCGTGTTTTTAGTTAAATTGCACTCTCACTTCTCATATGAGATTCGGATAAACATGGCAGTTCATATCCAGGCTGCCTAGCACAGACCTGCTCCTGCTGTTTGAAGTGTAGCTCTTCCAGCTCAGCTCGCTGCAGGGCCTGCAGACTATTCGTCTCATCCACGTGCTGTGTTTTCAGCCGCTCCTCCAGCGCTCCCAGCTCCTTCTGCTGCTGAGCCCGCAATCCCTGCAGCTCAGACTCAAAACGACGCTCCAGTTCCTCCTTCTCCTGCTGCAACTGCTCCCAGTGTGCAACACTGACAGCTGGAATAGAGACAGAATAGAAGAGACACAGACAAAAGAAAAAAAACATCCTAAAAAGACCGGCAAGTCATTTCGACTCCACACAGTCTTGGTTTTTCTTTATTTTTTTCACTCTTATGGTGTTATATGTAACAAGGGTAGTTTTAAAAGTAAGAAGGGTAAATCTATAAAATTCTTAATATATTTTTAATTGTATTACAAGTCTGTTCTAAAGTGTGACTTGAAACTGTGTCAACATAGGAGTTTTTTTGTTGTTGTTGTTGTTTTTTTACTTTATAGACCAGACACACACCTTAACGTTCAGTCTAAGACTAAATCTAGACTGCTGTCTGCAAAGTGAATTCCCATGGGCCATGTGGTCAAACACTCAGTAATACATCATGGGTTGCAAGCGATGAGTGACTCACTGCCTTCTCTCCTCCCTGTGGTGCCATAACTGTAACGCCGTATTCCACTTACCCACTTCATCACGGATTCTGGCAAGCTCCAGGGACAGTTCCCTCTCCTTCACAATGGCACTCTCACTCTGAAAAGACACACAGCGACATACATCTCTAGACAGTGCAAATGGATTTAGGTGTTTCTTGTCAGTGCAGCAGCGAAAATCAAGCATGTAATTCTAATAACGCAAGATCTTTGTCATAGATGCTAATGGTGGCTGTAAGAGAGCACGACAAACAATGCTAACAGGTTGGGTTTTTAAACCGGCTCCCACCAATTTCACTACAGTTTGTTATGCTATGAAGCTCGGGTGAATCAAATGTGGATGTGTTAAAAATTTGCCCTTTTGGAAGATTTGTTTTTTTTTTCAGCAAATGATGCAAGATAATTTACTCAACCGTTTCATGTAGATATTGCACTCAAGAACACAGAGTAACAGGACGCGTCAGTGCAGTGCTACTGGATATTAGGACTTCACCGATGTGATGCGTCGTGTGGAAAACAGCATTTAGGGATCTTAGATAATGACGTGCATATTTTTGCTACGTCTCAGAGTTGTAAAATAAATAAATTAATACAAATAAATAAAAAACAGTATGCATTTTACATTGTAACAAATCCATAACCAACTACTTCTATTTACTATCATTGGCTTAAAATATGCCACGACATGAGTGGTTACACATCAGACTAAAGACGAGAGATTTCACTGTCTAAAGTGGGGTGTCTGTTGCTCATACGTGGGTAGAGCAAAGACATAAGGAACTGTGATAACATTTTCTAAAATATATCTTCAATCATAAAAAGAATATGGATATTATTTTCTATATACATAGAACCAGAATGTCAGTATATTACATATTGAAAACAGTTCTCCTGAAACTAGCTTCTTTTATCAGGAAGGAGAAACTTCAGCCAGTGACAGGAGACTTTAGAACCTTATACTTTGTTTTGCTCAACAGTGTTTTGTACTTTGTTAAGCACAGTTTCTTGTATAGTGTTATGGTTTAAAATAAACACATTTCGTTATATAAAGATATACTTTTGTTGTTGTTTTTTTCAGAAATAAAATCAGAAAGTAATAACTATGTAACAAAGTAACAACTTTCCGTTTAAAGAAGAGGCTTAGTTTATATCAGGTCCCACTGAAGACAAAGTTAGAGAAGTAAGGCTGAGATGCTTTGGACATGTGCAGAAGAGGGATGGTGGCTATACTGGACAAAAGATGTTGAAAATGGAGCTGTCAGGTAGCAGGAAAAGAGAAAGACCACAGAGAAGATTCATGGAT